AAAAGTTCCGCCCTATACCTATAAACTGTCTTAATATGAATTACTTTTAAATTTTTTTTCATAAGTTCAATTTTGTTTTCTAAGGTCTACCCGTTTTTATCACGAAAGACAAGAGTGATGAATTAAGTCAAGAACAAAATCAACTTCAGCCGGTTAGTTTTTGATAAATCAACACAGAACCAAGTCACATAATTTATTTGTTGTTTTAAGCATTCATAATGCCATTATTGTAGTAAAAAGTCGTGGGTTCGAGTCCCGCTCGATACTAGTCGATTTTTTCTACTGCAGTATTTTCTTAATTCACATAATATAAATGAAATAAATGCCAATACATACGCGTTAAGTCCACCTTTTGTGTAGTAAAATAATAATAATATAGGAACTAAAGTAACAGTAAATTAATATGTCGATTGACGAGTAGCTATTGGCTTATTTTTTATTTACATGTTCTTTATTGCAACTAGTAGGTGAGGCAGAAACGTACTTACTACTTTATTTATTTGCATTAATGTTTTTCAGGGAACCTCAGGTTATGAGACGAACAAAAATGTTAATCGAAGCGCTTCAATGACCCCTTTATCTTCAGAACTGGATTCAATTTTTGATTCACCTAAAAAGGCTTCACTACGGAGACAACTAATGAAAAAGATCTTGTTGCAACAAAAACACACTAGAAAGATTAAGACTCTGAAGCAAAAAAATCGATGCTTAAAGAAAAGAAATGCCACTCTTAAAAATATTTTAATAGACTTGAGGAAGAAAAGATATATTAATAATGACATACCCAATATTTTGTCGGAAAATGTATTTGCAGCAGATTTATACAGTAGCTTAGCTAAAAAAATACGTATGGATAAAAACGACTGACGCTTAAATATACTCCAGAATTTAAAAAATTCTGTCTAACCTTGCATTTTTACTCGCCACGAGCTTACATCTATGTTCGTAAAACATTTAATACTTGTCTCCCACATCCGAAAACTATTTATAACTGGTATAAAACCATAAATTGTTCCCCTAGTTTTACAGATGAAGCATTTCATATTTTGAAATCGAAAATACTAAAATGTACACAGAAGAAATTAATATATGCTTTAGTGGCTGATGAAATGGCAATGCGACCACAAAATATAAAAGGAGGCCACGGGTGTGTAGACATCGGCACAGGTACATCTTATTGTACCACAAAGGCTACGGAAGCTTATACTTTTATTCTTGTGCTTGTGAACACTGGAAAATCTCATTGGGATATTTTTTGGTGCATGGTCTTACAGGGGGGCAAAAAGCTAATTTGATAAAAATATGCCTGACTAAATGAGGTGGGTGTAAAAGTGGTTGCTCTAACATTTGACGCACATTCGACAAATATATCAGCCATGGAATTATTAGGATGCCGACTAAAGGACCCTGAGAATATGAAAACTACATTCAAACATCCAGCAGCTGATAACGAGGTAGCGGTGTTTTTATATTCCAGTCATATGATCAAACTGGTTCGGAATCATTTCGAAGAAAAAAAATAATTCTTAGACCAAGATGAAAATAAAGTGGACTGGGAATTTTTAACAAAATTAAATGACTTGCAAGAAAAAGAGGGTTTACAAATTGCCAATAAACTAACTCGTAAACATCTCGAGTTTAGGAACTCTATTATGAAAGTAAAATGAGCAGTTCAACTACTTAGTAGAAGTGTAGCAGTGGCACTGAAATTTTGCCGCGAAGTCTTGAAATTGGACTATTTCAAGAATAGTAAGGGCAAAGAAAATTTTATCATGATTTTCAACGACCTGTTCGACAGTTTTAATACGAGAAGGTTAACACAAAATGGTTTTTGCCACCCCCTTTCAAATTCCAATAAAAAGGAAATATTCGATTTTTTAGACAAAACCAAAAGATACATACTTAACTTACAGATTAAAACTACTAGAAAGCGCAAATACAATGAAAAAGAGGGTTCCATAAATCTCAAAATCAAAAGCTTCCAATCGGCTCTTACTGTAAAGTGCTCTCCTGGCTTTAAAGGATTGTTGGTTTGCATAGAGAGCCTAAAATACTTATATAATACCTACAGGTTGAGCCAGGACCATATCGAGCTACTTTTTGGATTAATAAGAATGCAAAGCGGACTTAATGACAATCCAAACGCTCTACAATTTAAGGGTAGCTACAGAAAACATGGAACTGCAAGTAAGTGAAATTGGTAACTGCGTGCCACTTGAAAACATACCTATTTTGATATGTTAATCTGCTTTAACTTGCATCAATAATACTTCATTTTCTGAAAGATTTTATGATGAAGATAAAGAATTGACTGAACACTTATTGAAAACACCGATTCCAAATGATGTCGGATTTGAAATTACACGGGGTAGCGATGATCCTAACTGCAGAAACCACATTGTTGGCTATAAAGCTGGAAACGTAGCAAGACATCTCACAACCCGAGTAAAATATAAATATTGTATTGATAACATGCTTGTAAAAGAGAAACTTTGGTTCAATAAATTGGTATGTATGAGGGATAAAGGTGCATTTGTTTACGCCTCAAAAGAAGTTTATTCTATTTGTAGTGTTGCTGAAACTGTTCTGAGACGTTATCTAAAAGAAAATCCAGGCAATATTTCCGAAAAAGAAATCACACTTCAAATTATGAGAAGATTCATAGGAGGAACTCGTATTTTTTCTATAGAACACGTTAATTCCTACTTCCATGATTCGAATTTGACGAGACTTTGAAGTGTTATGCTACTTGCTCATCATTTTACATTATTTTAAATTCATTTTTCCATTCTGTTTCGATTTTCTGCATTCACTTCAAAACTGGATATTTTACATCACCTTTATTTCCATAGGATCCTGTAACGATTTTAAACCATAAGAACACAATAACAAATCATTTCTACTTCGTATTTTCACATTATCAGCACTTTTAAATTGGTGTCAATGGAGTCTACCTTTTTTCGATCTTTTAGTTAGTTTTCCGTAACTCTACAATTTCGGGCTTTGTGTGGGCAGTTGCGCTACCTTTTTTCCTATATCAATAATATCTCATTTTCCACTTAAATCTTGCCGTTTTCTTATTACAAGCCTAAAACTAAAATTTGACATGTTTTGACATTGTTGTTTATTTGGTCTCCATAGTAATTATATTCAAATTTGCTACCGATCTGTTGTTCCTATTTCGATAATTCCACATAAATACTCTTTTCTCTTGACCATTTACAAAAAATTTGCGTTTAATTTAAATAATTTTTCCGTTCTCTCTAGAAAGGTATAAAAGCCGAACAATCGGTGAAGAAAGGCAGTCTCGCTTCAGTTCTCGAATTGGAAGCATCTCCTAAAGGCCTAGGATCCTGCAAGCCTCCACCTACACGTGAAGTCTTCGGCGAAGCCTTCTTCAAGCGCGGAGCCGCACCACTCCGGAATCCTACAAGCCTCCATCTACCTCGGAAGTCGTCGGCAGTCTACTTCAAGCGCGGGGGCCACACTACTCCGGGCGCTACGACTGCTTACTCCAGGCGCCGAGTGCACCTACCGCCGGCGCTACCTTTGGGCGCTGCAACTGCTGACTCTAAGCGTTGAGCGCACCTACTCCAGGCGCTACGTGCGCCGGCTCCGGACGCTGCGTGTGCTGGCTCCAGGCGCTGCGTGCCGTCGCTGCTAAGAAACCTACCTCTACAAGCGCAACCGGCGTGTGCTGGCTTCAGGCGCTGCGTGTCGTCGCTGCTAAGAAACCTACCTCTACAATCGCAACGTGTGTCGCTTCGACTTTTAGGCTCCACTACAACTCTATATTCCCCTATTCTCCTACCTTTATTTTTTTTGTAATCTAATTGTATTCTCACTTCATTCATCATCATCCTCATTTCATTTTTTTATAAAATTGTAAATATCTTTGAATTTTAAATATATATTTTGTTTTTGTTGTATTTTTGTTGTTCTTAGGTTAGATTATTTTTGTTCTTTATTGTCGCTTCACGACAACTTATTGTCAAACGCTTCTTAAGAATTAGACTGTTCTATGAATCCAAAAAAGAAAATACTTTACGATTCGTATCATCAAAGCGACAGTTGATCAGGAAACAGTTGCAGTTACAAGGCTACTGAAATAAATGATTTTAATATTCATTTGTGTTTTTCTCATAAAGTTTTCTCAATCACTAAGCTAGAATGCATCTACTGTGTAAAACCTGCCAAAATTAAAATGTTCTTATGTTTTTCGTATTGTAGCTTACGTTATGCATGCAGTGAGGTGCGATGCACCATTACTAGACGATTATTAAAAACAAATTAGTTAAAACAAACTGAATAATGCATACTGAATTCACCAATTGTTCGTCGAACAGTCGTGTGTCGGGCATCGAGCGGGTGTGTATATCGAACTTGCATTAGTCATAATTATAACGTTTCTATTCAGTTACAAAGAAAAATATGCTGCAATCACATTTCGATGGCTCATAAAAGTGCTTGGCTAGACAGGCAAATACCCTATTCAAGAATGTTTTGAATTTGGCGGACTACACTTCGATATCAGAATTCGACCAAACTTATTTTCACATTTGTATCAGTAATACACTACGTCGTAACTGTTAGTTTAATATAGTTTCAACTTCCCTACTTTTGGGGAAAATTTAATGTATTGGGAACATTGGTTTTTCACTTGTCTGTGTTTCGTCTAGCATAAACACAACTTGCTTACGCAAACATAAATTTTGTTCTTGCCTCACGTTTGAACGTCCGCTTTATAGGGAACTATCATTATGCTTCACAGCTTCATTCTAGCGATTTATGTTAACTTATTGTAGCTCCACTTCCAAGCTTCCAGCCTTGCACGGTATTTAAAGGGAGGAAAAAATAATTTAATGGCAACACTGTCAGACGCCACTCGCTCCTGCATATCCCGCGGTACTCGCCTCATTCGACATTTCCGTGCTCAAGCCTTCGCACATAAGTTTTCGCATCAATCCTGCTTAGTAAATATTGTTATAATTTTTATTATAATGGGAAACAAAAGAAAAAAGGAAGAGTGTAAAAATGATAAAATTCTAAAGAAGATAAGGAAACTTGAGAAGAAATTATCACAAAAGAAGCGTGTTTTACGTCTACCGTCTAGTTCGAGTGACGAAGATTGCAGTTATCGTCTACATGTTTATTCTTAAATGAATTTGTAAAATCTATGATTATGTGAAGCGAGGAACTAATAGGGTTCTCTCTGTTACTGTAATTAGATAAATACAAACAAAACTTGTACAAAATATAAGAATGTGATGCGAGAAACTATTAGGGTTCTCTCTGTCACTTTATGGAGAAATTGTAAGTACATAATATAAATAATGTGATGCGAGGAACTATTAGGGTTCGCTCTGTCACTTTATGGAGAAATTGTAAGTACATAATATAAAAAATGCGATGCGAGGAACTATTAGGGTTCGCTCTGTCACTTTATGGAGAAATTGTAAGTACATAATATAAAAAATGTGATGCGAGGAACTATTAGGGTTCGCTCTGTCACTTTATGGAGAAATTGTAAGTACATAATATAAAAAATGTGATGCGAGGAACCATTAGGGTTCTCTCTGTCACGCCAAAATAAATTAATATTAACTACATAGTAATGCAAGCAGTTTTTTCGAAAAATGATTAGATATTTTTATGACTACCTCCTACATATTATAAAAATTGAATACTTACAAAACTAATCTAATTACAGGTGTCACCCCAAACCGTACCGGCAATGAAATAAATAACGAGATGCAAGACATCACCATTGATGACGGCATTATGGGCCAGCCTGACCTCCTGCTTTCACCAAGCATGACGGCAGCAGTGCCCATGGTAACTGAAATTACCTCCGAACCAGGGCCGTCGTCTGTGCCTCACACTATGGAGGTCGAGTTAGATGAGTCAATTTTAAGTTTGTTGGGGGATGCTCCGCAGAGTGCAATTCAATTAGGGCCACCAGTATACAAAGATATCGCATCTCGATGGCAAGACATTTTACTAAGAGGGCTTAAAGAAGATACAAAGTTGAAACTTTTAAGTGATTATGTAATACCTAACAATCTTGACAGACTTATATCACCCATCTTAAATGCTGAGCTAAAAGCTGCATTACCTGATACATTAGTTAAACGTGATTTTTCCTTACAACAACGACAAAAACAAATAGCAATAACTTTGTCTGCACTTAGTTCATCTATGGATATATTATTGACAAATAAAACTCAAGATACACCCCAAATTATATTAAAGTCCTTAAGCGATGCATGTAGACTTCTTTGTGATAGTTTTTATAATGAAACTCGTTTAAGAAGACTTTTTATTATTAATGCGATAAACATTCAGATTAGAAACGCAATTATAGTCACTATACTTGATAAATATCTATTTGGAGAAAATATTAGTGACAAATTAAAAGCGGCTCAAAATATTAAGAAATCGAGCGCTATTTTAAAACCAAGCCGTAGACCCCCGTTTAATAAGAATAATTTTATTAGGAATCCACCATTTGCCAATTCCAACAGGAATTTAAACCAAAAAGGCCCATCTCGGAGGATTGCTGTTCGATCCGACATGGGCAGGCCGCGGCCACAGCCTCGAACAGTCCCAACCACGGCAACGACCATCTACCGCAGACGCAACGAGCATCACAGCCCTCCACCAATGCGTTCTCGTTATGCGCCTCGCAGTCAACATCGTCGCTGAACATTGAGGTACGATATGCTGGTCGCATGTCTCATTTCTCTCAACAATGGGAGACTATCACGGGTGACCCTCTCATAGCTGAGGTACAAAATTCCTTTTATTTGTAATCCAGTGCGTCACGATATCTCACACACTATTCCAAAATCGACTGCGGAATTAAATGCTTTTAATGCCTGCATTAAAAAACTGTTACTTATCGGTGCTATTTCTGAGTCTAGTCACCAAAATGATGAATTTACTTCTAGTGTGTTTTTAGTGCCAAAATCTAATGCCGAAAAGCGATTTATATTAAATCTAAAGTGTCTCAATAAATTCGTAAAGACAGTCCACTTTAAGTTGGAAGACTACCGTACGGCTTTAGAATTGATGTCACAATATTGCTATATGGCATCTATTGACCTTAAAGATGCATATTTCTTAATACCTATTTACAATTCACATAGAAAGTATTTAAAATTTGACTTAAATGGTATTCTTTATGAATTTAATTGCTTGCCTTTTGGATTATCCACGGCCCCTTATTTATTTACTAAATTATTAAAACCTGTCGTTGAATACTTTAGATTAAACAATATAATTACAGTCATTTATTTAGATGATTTGCTATTGTTTGGGAATTCTTATGCCGAAAGCAATAAGAACATAGTATTTATAAAAAATGTTTTTGAAAATTTAGGTCTATTAATTAAATATGAAAAAAGTTGCTTAGTACCTTCAACTAAATGCAAATTCTTGGGTTTTATATTTGATTCAGTTAATATGAGATTAGAATTACCAGACGATAAAAGGCTAAAAATTTATAACCTTCTTATGAAATTTATGAGTACTATAAATTGCAATTTAAGAGAGTATGCAAAATTTCTGGGGACGTTAATATCGATCTGCCCAGCAATAGAATTATTCATGGTTATACACAAAACGGTTCGAACGTTTTAAATTTTTGAGTCTGTTGAATGATCCATCTTATGATCAGACAATTACAATTCCTCACAATTTAAAAGATGACAAGGTTTGGTGGGCTAATAACATTAATAACAGTTACGCTTCTATAAAGTTGCACGCCTATAAACTAGAAATCTTTTCCGATGCCTCTCTTACCGGGTGGGGAGGATATTGTAATAATCAGAAAGTTTTTGGTTATTGGAAAGAGAAGGAAAGGACATTACATATAAATTTACTAGAGCTTAAAGCAACGTCTATTGCTTTAAAAGTATTTGCCAGAGATTGTAGCGATATGGAGATTCTTCTTAGAATCGACAATACAACTGCAATTGCTTGCATTAATAAAATGGGTAGCGTCCACATCTTGAGGATGTTACTCGTCAAATATGGCAATGGTGTGAAAGAAGGAAACTCTTTTTATTTGCATCATATATCAATACGAAAGAAAATCTAGAGGCCGACAAACTCTTTAGAAAAGCTTTTATGGATACTGAATGGGAACTTGCCGATTATGCCTTCCAAAAAATAATCGACAATTTTGGCATTCCTACTATTGACATATTTGGAAGCCGTAATAATGCAAAATGCTCAAACTTTGTATCCTGGAAACAAGAACCAGATTCCTGGGCTGTTGATGCTTTTACTATTTCCTGGGAGAATCTAAACTTTTATGCCTTTCCACCATTTTGTCTAGTACTAAGAATGCTTAAGAAGATTATTCAAGACAAAGCCAAAGGTATAGTTGTTATACCTGATTGGCCAACTCAGCCATTGTTCCCCTTGCTACAGAAACTGCAAGTTTCTGAGAAAATTTATTTTCAACCTAATAAAACTCTGCTTAAATCACCTTTCAGGAATCATCACAAACTGTACAGATCGCTCAGACTGATTGCCGTGAAGTTGTCCGCCAAACATTGCTGGAACGACACCTCTCCCCAAGAACGGTAGATATAATGCTATCTTCTCTCACAGATAGTACATACAGGCAATAAGATGGGTGCTTAAAAGCATGGATGAAGTACTGTCAAGTTTATAATTACTGTCACAAGACTGCATCTATTCCAGTTATTTTACATTACCTTAGCGAGCTTTTTTATCAGGGAGCAAAGTACGGCACTATTAACTCCCACAAATCAGCGATAAAACTTTTAATGTCAAACAGTCTTGAAGACGATAGAATTAAGAGATTTATGAAAGGAGTATTCAGGTTACGACCACCTAAACCTAAATATGACTTAGTTTGGGACCCTAATATAGTTTTAAATTATCTTGAACAGTTTTGGCCAAATGATGGATTGACACTCGAGGTATTATCTAAAAAGACAGTCACATTACTAGCGTTAGTAACGGCACATAGAGTTCAGACTCTTTCTCTGATAAAAATAGCCCATGTTTTAATTGTCGAAAATAGTAATATAGTGATTAAGATTTCAGATTTAATTAAGACTTCTAGACTAAACGTAAATCAACCCGTGTTAAAGATCCCTTCTTTCACTCCTAGACCAGGAATCTGTCCGGCGTCTTGTTTAATTATGTACATAAATAGAACTCACCCTTTACGAATTAACAATCAAGATTCTCTATTTATCAGTTTCAAAAAACCACACTTCGCGGTTTCTTCTCAAACATTAAGCCATTGGATAAAATCAACGCTATCTAACAGTGGCATTGACACATCAATTTTTAAGGCTCACAGCACTCGTCATGCGTCTACTTCGTCTGCCAATAGATTAGGTGTGAATATCGATGTAATTAGAAAGGCCGCCGGGTGGAGTGAAACTTCTAGCGTTTTTGCTAAATACTATAATAAAGACACAGTAATTGATCAAAACTCCTTTGCGCGATCAATACTGTCTAATGAAAGTTAAATTAATTGTGAATAATTAACAGAATGTACACAATGTATCAAAATGAATATGATGAAAATGAGTATTGTTTCTATGTAATTATAATCTATGAAAATTATAATTTTTTGTTTTATTTTTACATTAAGACTCTAAACATCTACAATAAGTTAACATAAATCGCTAGAATGAAGCTGTGAAGCATAATTAATGATCAAACGAACTTACCAAGTGAAGTTCGATCCTAATTATGCGAACAGCTTCATTCTAGCGATTTAGGAGAGCCCTCCCTTATTATTTTTTTAATACTGTGTTTTCTCTATCGGTTAACACAAACCCTCCCTAAAATTCGTAAAAATAAAACTTAATTGTTCTATTTTCCAAAAATGGTAAAATAATACGAATTAATTAGCAGCATTTCTATTTGTATTTCTTTAAACTATGAAACTAATGAAGCGAGTACCGCGGGATATGCAGGAGCGAGTTTTTTTTTTGGAGTTTATGGCCTGGTATCTAGACCTTTAGGCCAAGTCTTAAGTATTTTTATTCGGTTTATTGTAATTTCCCCACTCCTTCATAGTATACTGCTTCACAATATGTTGATGCGTCACATTGTGCAGTTCTTGGGAGATTTTGGCGGCAACTTGATCCAGCAGACAGCTGATAGTTGGCGATGGTATCTAAAGGTGCCTATGCAAACAAACAGCTTATCTTGAGAATCCATCACCATCAGAGCACTTGTTTCACTGTTTCCACTAATAGTTCACATGCGTAGACACTTAATACACAAAATCGCAACACTTTTACATATCAAAGTCCACTTCAAACCATTATTTAAACAATAATACAGGAGCAGCAAACCGCCGCCGGTCAATTTCCCGCCAAAACTCCTCAGTCTGCAGGAGCGAGTGGCGTCTGACAGTGTAGCCATTGAATTATTTTTTCCTCCCTTTAAATACCGTGCAAGGCTGGAAGCTTGGAAGTGGAGCTACAATAAGTTAACATAAATCGCTAGAATGAAGCTGTTCGCATAATTAGGATCGAACTTCACTTGGTAAGTTCGTTTGATCATTAATTCTAGGTGTTATTATTCTAAGACTACCATACACCTTAACAAAGAGCCGTAAGCCTAAGTACTCACTGTAAATTTCACAGTAGAAGAGGGGTTCGATTAGGGTTGCCAGATCGGAAGGCAAAAATATCTGGACAAAATTTGAAAATGTCGGGATTTTGGGGTTGTTGTCGGGAGAAATAAATATAAAAAATAAAAACGTAAAATGAAAAAAATATTTTTTAAATTAATAGGCTACAAAAGGACTTGACATTGTTGACATGTAACCAATATTACACTTAAATTTTAGGTTGTCATAATTATGTATTTGGCATTGGACATTACTTAGTCCCCCACTTTAGGTCATTTAGTAGTATTCAGAAATAATTTAAAATTCAATCAATTTATTTTAAATAAGTTCAATTCAATTGGTAATGATTTCTCTCTTTGGTATATAAATTATATAGGAAACTAAATACACCTTTACAGTAAGCATTGCTTATAGGAATCGGCAACATAAATGATATATTATATTTCAGGTCGTTTTGGTTGCATTTAAAAAAATGTCAATGTAAATAAATTTGCAACTTTTAAAGACAATACAGCGAGTTTTTATACAGAGTTCTCAGAAAAATAGCGTTCTTGCAAGTATTGAATAGCTCGTTTTAAAAATGTTCATCTTTGAAGCAAATGGGGTTTTCTCCCTATTGGAAACATTACTTAATAAGGTTATTTTTCTACTACCTAAGAATTTGTCATCCAACCTATTTTTTCTTTACACTTTCAAGTTCTAGTTCTAGGACAGAGCATGCAGCACTTTCCAATGCTAAAATTGCTACTTGGAACTCCAACATTACGTTACAAAGTACATACAAAGTATAAATACGTTTCTGAAATTCCCTTTCTGTTCGTATTCGTCAATCCGTTCACTATTATTATCAATATGGTTTATACTTTTTGTTAGAAACTCCCATATTAATATCTCTTTTCGACATTCGTCTTCCCTTTTTCAACATTAAATAATGCTTTACAGTAGACTAACAATACAGTTAATGATCGAAAGTGGGCAAAAGAGATAGCCATCTTGTCGGAACATGACGAAGAAGAACATGGACGCGCGTGACAATTTTAAATAATTATTTTGTATAGAACTTTCCGAAAAGCCGTTTGTTTGGAGATTTTGAGTTTTCTCGGGAGTCTGGAGATCATTCAAAATGTCGGGAGAATCCAGACGAATCCCGACCGTCTGACAACCCTAGGTTCGATCCCCGCCCAGCACTATTTAAATTGTTAATTGCAATTTTAAGTGCCGATTTACCATTTTTATGCGTTGTTGCACGAATATGTTGGCTCAACCGGGGTAAGACCATGCTCTCACAGAATACCAGCATGAAATAGTAGCTTAATGCTGCTTGCTGTGTTTCGTATGGTAAGTGCAAAAAACTGGAGACCCTTTTTTTATAAACAAGGTACTCCATCGTAGTCCGTAGGGCATCTGAATTTTGGTTCTTAATCGAGGTAGATATAGATGTCTATGGGCCACAGCAACCACTTACCATCTTGTGGGCAGTGTGCTCAGCAGTGAACATTGTGATGAAATCTGCTAGGGAATAAATAATATTTCTAAGACATGTAAAGTTCACCAAAATGCATTGAGACAGCGTGGCTGACAATTTCCTTGCCCTAAAACCCTCACAGAAATGGGACGAGGCCTGTTCCCAGCAGTGGGACATATGTCCATAGGCTGTTACTTTAAGGAACTTTAACAACACAATTTGACATAAAGCAGTCAACTCAAGCTTAACTTTTTATTGCCTGTTGAGTAATTTAAAAATGGAATTTTAGCCACTTTTGCACATGTGTAATCCCATGATATCTAACTAGCCATTTTAAGCGTGGTTAAAGTACTTGTTCCAGAGCTTAGGTAGCAACAATATATTGGAGCAAAGATTGTACTCCCCTGCTACCACAACATTCGTGGAGGTTCCTTGTTGCTCCATAGTTATCGAAGCTACTAAGAATGCACATAGGAGTTCAATTACTTTTGCAACAATAATTTTTTTTATATTTATTTCTATACACTTTATTTATAGTAAAATGAGTTCTAATGCTAAAGACTAGGTATTTAATCCATATTCCCTACACAATGTTCTTAGCTTTCAATATTTTCTAAGTCCTCTATATTTGAACTTTCCTTTAGCTTTTCCTCAAAAAACTGTTTTCTATGAATTAGTGCTAAGTGAGGTTGTCTAATACCATAATTCTCATTACCCATTTTGGTGTACTTTCTTGCACCTTCATTACCCATTAATTCTCTTAGGGCTTGGTTTCGTTGTAAGAGTTTTTCATAAAATATGAGACCACTTTTAATATATTCTGGGCCAAGTTCACAAAGTTTACTATCAACCCTTGTCTCATAATATACTTCTGTTAGATCTTTTATGAGAAAGTAGCTTCCCATTCCAAATAATCCAACAATAGAATACATTGTTACTCTAACTACTGGGTGTGCTAAATACAAATTAAGTTTTCTGTTTAAATAATGACAGAGATTGTAAACAAAAAATATGCACATAAATGGATAGGTTGATTCAAACAGCACTTTGCTATTATTGGTCATCAGAATTTCTCTACAAATTGCAAATTCTTGTACTTTTTCTGGAAGGATAAGAGCTTCAGCTAATTTTTTACCAACATCAGTATTTAAATCAACTGTTTTTTGATTAACCTAAAAATTTAAAAATATTTTAATGATTAAAATATATTAATTATACACACAAACATATTTTTATTTCTACTTAAAATACCTGTATATTATCTTTCTCAATATCATCAAGTGTCTTGTATGTGAAGTTAACTGGAATTCCAATAACAACACCAAATTTTGAGTTAGTGCTACCTGTAAAATAGAATAAATAAAAAACTTATATATAACGATGTACATTGAAGATTTTTCACATTCACATTACTAATACATATACCATACCAGCATGAAATAAATCAAAACCATATACACTAAATGGTTGAATTATTTTTCTGTGAACATCTGTGAGTTTAAGAAGATCAAGACATCTTTCATATCGCGTAGAAAGCTCTTTAGGAATTTCAGCAGGCTGACCATCTCTACAACAATGATATGCCCTAATATAGAACTTCCACAGTACATTTGCTGTAATTATCTAAATATTATAATAAACTTGTTTTAGACCTGTAGTAATGCACAACACTTTTATATTTTTCTAAGAAGAAAGTATGAGGCATGAATCTTGCAGCTGTTAACGCAATTCCTGTGCCGGTAACAATAGCAAATGAAAATCTACGTCCTTTTTCTGTTAAAAACCATGTGATGGGCCTTCTGGTTGCCATTTTCACTTAAGTATATATACTAGACAAATTACAAACGTTAAACTTTCACAATATACAACATTGGAAATCTGGTAGAAGTAATAGCCTATAGTGTTCCGTTTCTGTGGCAGAGTATTTAATTAACGTTCCAGAGAAAGCAATGTCTGAATTATCTAATTTTTTTATCAAAAGTTATTTGTAAATCAAATTAAAAATGAAAATTTTCATTGAAAAGTGAAAAATAACCTTCTTCTTAATAACTGACTTTACGGCTCTGGGATCTAGCCCTTCTGAGCCTGAAGTTACAATATATTATAATAATTATCCTTCATAGTATACTGCTTCACAATATGTTGATGCGTCACATTGTGTAGCTCTTGAGAGATTTTGATGGCAACTTGAGAACTTGAGACAGCTGACGGTTGGCGATGGTATCTCAAGGCGCCTAAGCAGCCAGACACCTTATTTTGAGAATCACATCACCATCAGACCACTTGTTTCACAGTTTTCGCTAATAGTTCCCATGCGCAGATACTTAATACACAAAATCGCACCACTTTTACATATCAAAGTCCACTTCAAACCCTTATTTAAACAATAATACAGGAGCAGCAAACCGCCGCCGGTCAAATTCCCGCTAGCTTGCTACATATTTATTTATCTACTATATGGTTCCCGCCAAAACTCCCTAAACCTATGCCCATTGCCCAATCCCATAGCCATGAATTAGAATACACCATAGATTTCTGTACCGTGTGAACATCTTTAAAATGCAGATCCTGCCTTAATTTGGTTAAAAACTTGCCAAATCCTGCCAATGTCTGTAGTGAAAAATGCCTAAATACAGCCAACTTTATTTACCATTGTACAATTGTATTAAACTAAGACAAGTAAAATACACATTTAAATGCTTTATGTTTAATTATACTAAAATTAAACATATCTTTCGCTGGTTTGAATGCAATGCAATCGCCATGCTCACCAATGCCTTATTTATCGTGCAAGATAGACGCTATATATAATTGTTTATATCCAGTTGTGGTTCGTGTTTTTCTCTTAATTAAATTTATTTGAGAGAATATTCCATCGCCTGCTGAATCCACTCATATTTTTTTTTATTTTTACTAGTAGCGGCATGCTCTTTTAAAGCGGACAGTCGGGATGCCAATTTGCAGTTTTTTTTAAAAAAAAAAAGGTTGACAAACGAGTACACAGTCCACCTAATGGTAAGTGAATGCTGCGGTACATAAACATCTACATATATCTTCAATTAAGAATCAAAATGCAAATGTGTTGTCATCCCTGAGGACTAAGATGGAATGCCTCATTTCCAGTAAAAAGGTTCTCCGGTTCTCTTCACTCACCATACGAAACACACCAACAATAAGCTGCTATTTCACGCTGGTATTCTCTAAGAGCGTGGGTCCTACCCCGGTCGAGCCGACCCATTCGTGCTACAACCATAATACCAATACCAAAGTGAAGTACGTCTCTTCTTTGACTGATTGAATTATTAACCATAAACTCGTGTTTATGAATAATCGTTTTAAGATTATAAACTTTACACACAAACTTTTAAAGTTGTTAATTGAATGTGATACAAACATTACACTATACTCTATTCCAATTACCAAGTCCCATTTGACAGATATCAATAATCAAGTAGTATTAAAGTACCGCTATAGTCGATACTTGACGATATTGATCTTCGATTATTATAACGAACAAATTAAAATCGTATTGACAGAAAAAGGATTAGCATCAAATTTAAATTTATAAAACTGTTTTTTAATTTGATAATATTACATGATATTTTTATCAAGTTGGAACATATTCATCATCACTAGCCGAAATTGATATTTCATGGTCGGCATCGTCGTCATCACCCTCATCATCGTCTGTAGAATCCCCTGTATTTATTATAATTTGGTTATCTATGACGGCATCAATATGTATGTCTCTGTCCCAATCAGCGAAAATCAAATTTTTTGTTCGTAAAACCACACTTTCCCAATTCGCGACAGTAACACTATCACACGCTTCTTACAACAATGACAGCATTTTGTTTGCAGTAAACGGTGGGCTGGTATTTTTACGAGCCGCATAACCTAAAATAAAGGTTTGCGTGTCAATATAGTAACAGATTAAATGTTAAAATAGGTAAAAATAAATTTTAAAAAAGATTTGTTTAAATTCTTGCCTTTAACCCTATACTTGACGATGTGCATTTAAATGCACACTATTTTGTAAAAAATCCTAGGCAAAAATCAAGAATATTTTTCATTTATTTTGTTTACATTCGCGTAGTGTAATACCCATATCTTACGGCAAAAAATATTGATGAGCAGTGGCAACACCAGGACGCACAGTAGGTCACAAGATGGCAGAGCGTGCGCGGGCGTCTACGACATACAAGGTAAAAATCGTTTGGAATCGTATCATTTAACTATAAAAATGAAAAACAACTTGCTAGAAATAGTACCTAATAACACATTCTTTCGAGTGAACTATAAATTTTGTTAATTAAATTTAGTTTTCTTAGTCTAATTTTCGTGTCATTCTGCATGTACCTTTAAATGCACATTGCCAACTTAACAACAGACTTCTTGAATTTGGGTGTGTGCATTTGTGGATACATTGCCAGTTTGGAGGCAATTATTTTTTAATATATTATTATGGATAACAATGAAATTAATTATTTATTTTGGTTGGTTATTTAATAATATTCTTTTTGTTGTAGTCTTCTGCAAGAACCGCCAGAATTTTGGCGTTAGTGCCTAAGTCTGGTGCTGGTTCCGACATCGAGAACAGTGATTCTTCTGAAGATGAAGTTTATTATGCACGCAAAATTGTGGAAAACAAGATCGTTGAGGGTTCTGATTTAAGTTCAGAACCACCATCACTAGGATCTTCATTTGAAAATTCAATTTTCAAATGAAGATCTTCATTTACTTTCAGATAGTGGTGAAGATACAGTTTTCATAACAACTGTAAGCTCGTCAGTGATTGACTCGAATATTAATTCATGTCATCAAGTATCGACCCCATCTTATCTTGGTCCAGATTCACCGTCTATACTAGCTTCAGTTTCAGTTCCAACTGCTTCAGATAGCCAAAACCAGCAAATCAAACACCAAAGTCCACTGGCTACAATCATTTCATCTATACCAGCTTTCAACGTTTCGCAAATTTCACCATTAGCTGGTCGAAATGATTTTAACATTGCATCTCCATCTGGTGGCACTCGATCGAAGAAAAAAACTACAGTTGTTGTCAAAAAGGCACTTGTACGCGTAAAGCGAATAGATACGAAATGGACTTGTACGAAATCGTTTAAAGGTAAAGCAGATATTGAAGTTAGAATGTTCCCGCCATCACTGCAATCTAGGTCACCGTTAGAGTACTTTCGGATGTTCTTTGACGATGACCTTATAGAATTGATTGTCCAGCAAACTAATTTGTATCACATGCAAACAAAAAGCACACCACTTAATGTCACAACGGATGAAATAAGGGATTTAATTGCGATACATTTATTGATGGGTGTAGTAAACATGCCTGCTTACACAGATTATTGGTGTAAAACGCTGCGTTACAATAAAATTGCTAACATAATGCCATTAAAACGGTTTCAACAGATCCGAAGATATTTACACTTTGCTAATAATTTACAAGATGATGGAGACAGGTACTTTAAAGTTAGAAATCTTTTAGAAAGTATACGCCGTAATTGTCTCAAAATTGAAGAGGAAAATCGTTTCAGCATTGACGAAGTGATGGTGCCTTATAAAGGTACACGAGCTGGTTCACGTAAACAATACATTAAAAATAAACCCCGTAAATGGGGTTTTAAAGTATTCGTTCGCGCAGGAGTATCCGGTATTATTTATGACTTTTTGGCATACGGTGGAGAGGATACTTTTCGTTATCATGATTTTACGGAAGATGAAAATGGCATGGGTTTAGGCGCAAAAGTTGTATTAGCTTTATCCAAGACAATCAAACAACAAGCTTGTTCAGTGCTGTACTTCGACAATTTTTTCACTTCTCTGGAGTTACTGAAGCATTTGAGAAATGAATATGGCATCTTTGCTTTAGGGACTATAAGGCAAAATAGACTTCGAGGGGCTGCAGCTAAACTGCCGACTGATAAAAACTTAAAGAAAAGAGGCCGTGGATCTTTTGCCCAGGTCATTCCTAATGAATGCAAAATAGCGGTAATTAAATGGTTTGACACTAAATGTGTCACTGCGGCAAGTACGTACACTCACTCCCAACCAGTGCAACAAGTGTGGCGATATTGCAAAAAAACAAAAAGCAGAAACCCTGTTACATGTCCCAACATAATTAAAGAATATAACAATAATATGGGAGGTGTGGATCTTGCAGATATGCTTGTTGCACTTTATCGGACTGAAATGCGAGCACATCGTTGGTATATTCCTTTATGCTCACAGCTTCTTGACATATGTGTTAATAATGCATGGCTCATCTATCGTCGTGAAAACAAAGGTAAAAAGCATATGAAACTCAAAGTTTTTCGATGTGCCATAAGTAATGATCTCAACACATTTCAAAGAACAAAGGAGATTGCTAATACTTCTAGAGGTGCGCATTTTGTCACACCACAAATATCTGACTATGGCCGATTGGACCAAATTGGGCACATGCCATCTTTTGCAAGTAAAGGCAGATGCAAGAAATGCATAAAAAGTCAGACTAAATTCATATGTGTGAAATGTAATGTACGTCTTTGTTTAGTAGAGGGTCGTAATTGTTTTTTTGATTATCATACTAAGTCAGCCTAATTTTTTTACTAAACCTAATTTTAACAACATTTTTTTATAAGTCCTTAATTTATATAAATATTATATTTTTTTAATTTGTGATGATTGTTTAGCATTATTTACCATGTGATGCCTTGATTTAAAGGTTACGATTGTTGATATCTTTAATACTGATTGTTGATCTCTTATTTTAGTAGCATTTTTTCTTTATAAATAAACATACGATACTTAATAGATAAATAGTTGTAACTTTAGTTTGTGATAATTGTTTAACAACAAAGATAATATAGATTTGACTTGATCTAAAGGTAAAAGTTGAATTTGTTGATGTTTTTTACTTATTTTTGATCTCTTAAATGATTATGATAATTATATGGGCAATATAAGCAAAACAGATAGTTTTTTATAAAATACTTCATATTAATAAAACATTGATTGGATAAAAATAAAGCATGTTTTATTTAACCCTGCACATGGCAAAGTATATTTTAATGCACACGCTTTTTTGATGGCGTAAACTCGACAAAGCTAGCAATGTGCATTTAAAGACACACGCTTTTATGATAGCCTAAACTCGACAAAGCTAGCAATGTGCATTTAAAGACACACGCTTTTATGATAGCCTAAACTCGACAAAGCTAGCAATGTGCATTTAAATACACATGCTATATTTCCAAAATTATATATGTTGGATTTTTTTTATATTTTCTATATGTTTTTGACAACTCCAAGATCCAATATATATAGCAAGAACAACGAATATTTACTAAAAATATTCTTGCCAACTATAGGGTTAATTTGCGCCCAAATCAATTCTATGGCATTGTATTGACAATAGTAGGGTGGAAGGCGCATTACATTGTGTCCGGCTTCTTTAGCCATTTCGTCCAATACGTATTTTGGTCTAGCTGGCTTATTTATAGCAACCAAATGCAGCAGCTCAACTTTTAACATGGACATGTCAACAACAATATTATTGTCATTCAGCCATTTCACAATATCGGCTTTTTTGCTGCTAGAAGTTGGAGGCTTACTTATTTGTACTGAATGATACGGTGCATTATCCATAATGATCGTCGATGGCTCATTCAAGTTGGTCAATAAGGTACAAAACCATTCCTTAAATTTAACAAAATTCATCTCTTCGTGGTATTCCAGTTTTCTTAGATTTAAACGCCAAGAGGCAGTTCGGAACAAATCCCTTCATGGAACCCGCATAACAAATTAAGCGTTCGCCTTTGCCACTACGTACTTTTGTGGAGGAGTGAGGAGTGTCGTCTGTCCATATCTTGCCAACTGTATGATTAGTGTTTAGCCACGTCTCATCTAGAAATATAACATTATTTCAAACGTCAATGAACTTTGCTGATCTTAGAAAATTAAATCTGGCTAAAGCTATATCTCTACGTTCCATCAAAATCCGCCTTTTATCACATTTTTTATAAGAAAAGCCAACATTTTTTAAAACCGTCCAGAAAGAAGTTCTACTGCCGTGAAACAGTCCAGATTCTCGTAAAGTATTTGACAATTTATCAGGAGTCGGCAGTTCGTTCCTACTATAGTAGCCATAGATATGGTTTTTAATGTCGTCGTTATCAAAATTGTCGATATGTGTAACTATCGATCTTCTAACTTTTTTCTTAAGTGGCGATTTTAATTTGTTATCTTCCATTTAATCTTTACCATGTTTTTCCTTACTTATTCGGGAAACAGTTTTTCGACTAATACCAAGAGCTGCACTTACTCGGTTAGTCACTTGTGAAAGTGGCAACAATGGACCACCATTCTGATACTCTCTTTCAAAGTAATCTTGTAGGCGTACTACAAACTCTCGCGCTTGACTGCGCATCACTGTTCTTTTAGTGGTCTCAGTTTCGGCCATAGTGTTTTAAATCAAATAACAGTCAAAACTTAATAACAACGAAAGAATTATCAAACAGTTATAACTACAATAACAAGAACGAAATAAAAACACAACACAAACAATCAACTAAACTAAACACGCGTATCGTATTGTATACAAGGCTTCTGCACTCGTACTGAAGAGACAAACAAAATGGCGGTCGTCATCACGAGGTGGACACAGTGTTGACAGATTTTCACTCGCGAAAAGAATCCGTCTATAATCGATTTTATACGATTCTTTTAGTCACGTCACTATGTAAAAAAGTAAAAATAAAAATATAGAAAGTAAAGGCAAATCGGCAGTAAAATATTATTATCTTTTAAAGTTTTAATTGTTTTGAGCACGATGTTTAAAACCAGTATGTTGATTGTGTGTGTGTGTGAATTAATTGTATAATGATTTAGATTGATTGTGTATTTTTAAATGATGATTTACGACCATGAACAAAAATGATTATTATTTCAAATTTTGCGAAACGTGAAGAGTTACGTTCTAAGAAAAGTCAAAAGGGACTTCATAATTGGAATAGAGTATAGAAGTATAGGGAAATCCCCCACATGCTGCCAAAGTACTTAGGGCTGCCACTTTCGGCATTTTAAGTTGACATAACGAAATCTATTGTTAATTTTTTTAAAAAGTTTTATAAAACGTCAACCGATCATGCCAGAGGCTAAAATAAGAGGCCAATCCTGCAAAAATGGCAGTAACCTGCCACATAGGGTCACACTGTTTCTGTATATAATTATAACTTGAATAATATACTTATTTCCATTACACCCCCCCCCCCCCCAGCCTACGAATTTGGGGTATATTGTCCGTTCATCGTAACTTCACGCGTAAGCTGATTGGCAGCATTGTAGTTTGCAGTGTTGCGTGCTTCAATACGAATAGCGTCCCCGAAATTTAGGGACAGTTTATGCAGTGCGCCCACAAGTGAGAAGAGTTTGTTGTGAATATATTATAAGTGAGCTTTCCATTCAATAGCCTCGCATGGGTTATGGGTTATTTCTGGATCTCGGCTTTCTATTTTAATTTAATAAGAGAGACGTTTATAGGTTAACTTCTTACACATTTATCTATATATAAATAAAATGATAGAGGTTTGGAGTTGTGCGGGCATCACGGAAAAACTTCTGGATAGATTTTAATTAGGTTTTCTAAGATTTATTTCTTAGACACTGGACCCTTTCCTAAAAAAATATTGTGATATCTTTATTTAATATAAAGTTATTAAGAACGCGGACGAAATCCTGGGGATCGGGTAGTTTGTTATAAAATAATGATCTACGTAAACTTGCTACTAATGAGGCCAATAAATAAAACCCCGGAAGATAAAAATCCTATACTATACATTTCTACACCGCGCATGCGTCAATGTCCCGTGTGCATTCGACACATCATTTTACTAACTTTTTGCATTTAATATTGCATTTTATGCATTTATAATGGTGGTGGCATATAATTATTACGCATAGAAACGCAGTGCAGTACAAAACACGAGCGTTAAAATGATGCAAAGTCATTATGTTAGTGGGCGCGAGTCGAATGTGCCTACGCTCGTCACACGCACACATACACGCCATTCAGTGATACTAGTTTCTGGCGTTTGCAATCAAATTGTGCAAACCACTATATTTTGATTAATTTTAAAAAAGCGATCTAATAAAGATTACGTATTACGTACGAAGATTATTTAGTAGAAGTATTTTATGAGAATATAAAATGGAATAAAATAAACACGATAATGATTTTACTAATATAACTTTATTATACATATATTAATATAAAAAAAGCACATCGTGTAATGTTTAACTTTAACCAACTTCAAAAAGGGAGGAGGTTATCAATTCGGTGTATTTTTTAATGTTTTTTACCTCAGAATTCTACAATTTCTAAACCGATTTAGATTTTTTTATTTGAAAGGATATACACACAGATTGATCCAATACACACGCTGAAATTTTAATGGTTGTTTTCCCGAAATAAAATGATTTTGCCTTAGTAGTACAATAGATTTATTAAAATAAAATTATTAGGATGTAAAAATGGCACATTTACAATCTAGAAAAACGAAACTCGAATGCGATCTCAAACCAATAGCAATATCTCGCAAGTAGGTCGGGCGTACAGGCTAGCTTATACCGAATTACTATAATAAAGTCTGAAAAAAAAAATTCGCTGGACGTAATGTAGTGTTAGGTCTATCGCACGTGCTACCGCGCGCTTCCTACACAGTGAAGGGCCACTAATAAATGTTCATAACATGAACTCTCAATCGTAGTGATACGACATAAACTAGTTTGGACGCCCGAATAGCTTGTGAGGTATTACTATTGTAAATATGCCCTTTTTTAATTGTAATATTTTTTAATTTAATCAATTGACTCTATTATCGAGACAGTATAATTTGGCTGCGGGACAACAACCACTAAAATTTCAGCATGTATATACGAATTGATCAAGCTTAGAAATCAGTTTACATACATATTGATAACCTTTGTTTTTGGGAGTCAGTTAAAATAGGCTATGTTAGGGTCTAACGTAACATCTGGTTAATGTTTGGGTGTAAAGTGACATCTGGTTAGTAAAGGCGTTCTTATTAATAATCTCATGATGTTGCTATACTCTAAAACATAACCTTAGTGAATAAAAAAAGCAATTAAAATAAAATAGTTGCGTTGAAATGGCGTCGACGAATCACGATTTGCTGATCACTCCGTATTAGTTTTAAATTGGCACCCATTGTTAATATAAAGTTAACACTTAGAGAAGTAGGTATCTATATATAAACATTTGAGTTTTACACAGAGCGTTGCGATTAAACGTTTTAAACACAAATAGAAAATAAATATTTTTAAAAGAAAATTGTGATTTTTTCACCACAACTAGAAACATTTGTATTATGAGAGCTTAGGTTAGTATTTTTTTTAGTTTTACGTACTTATAATGAATTAAATGTATAAACTTATATGTGAAATGTAATACCATCACTTCTTTTATGTTTATCATCACCGTTGTGACAATATTTTACAACACAAACGGTAATTTTTACAATTTTTCGCGAGCTCTTCTACGTAAGACGTGACGTTGCGCACTGACGCGTCGTTGAGTCAACTTACGCGGTTTCGCGTTAGTTTTACTTGCTTCACTTTCGGTGCGCGTACTAGTATTCTATGCGTAATAATTCTATGGGTGGTGGTTACATTCAAGCAGGGTACAGTTTTTTTTTCATATCGTAAAAAGTACCCAATTCTCATTATTTGAATTAATATCGACATTATAAGGTGAGTGATTTTTAACTATTTTTTTATTTCTAAGCTACATGGGTGCAGTTTAAATAATTAATATTTTTGAGATGTGCTATTTGAACTACGTCTGTCAATATTTTTTTAATATAATTACTCCAAATTCTTAGGCTGGGTGATGTTTTCGACGCTTAATAAATTTGGTTTTATTAACTTTTTGCATTTAAATAAAACTAATTTTACAGATTTTATCACGTATATTAACTTATTTTACATTCCCGACGTTTCAAGCACTTTACAGCACCCATGGTCACGGGGGGGACTGAGGTGTAGGCGTGTGTATCTCTTTACGGAAACGACTCACTGATACGAATCACTGAAGTGACACAAAAGATTGGTTCAGTAACAACGTTTCAAATGTATCATTTGTATCTGGAACAGTGAAACATTACTTTGCTCTTTGCTCATTTCGCGCGACGCGTCGCTTGCGAGGCGACTGAGCCACGAGTGAGAGAGACGGACTGAGATAATGATTAACTTAACTATTGACACACGAGTGGCGAGTGAGCGGGCGAAATAATTATAATCCACACAAGTCAGATAGAGATAACAAATAAGAAGTGTATCACAACGCGTACGGATTTTCGCTGACGTTATTCATGCACGTAAAAATTACCACTAAGGCGCTTATGTGTCAAATACTATACGGTCGTTTTTTGTATGTAGCGTTTGCATTAACAAGTTGTCATTTTACGTTGATGCGGCACTTGTCAAATTGTTTATATTCATTAGTCCTGTTTACGAAAACATACTGAGTTATGTTTAGGATTTCTTTGCGTAGTGATTATTGTGACTTTACTTTCTTCCTTTTCATCATAAAGTTTAGAGTCATGATATTTTACGAGTAAATTCTGTGTACATAGACATTGCTGTTTTGTGTAAATGGACATTTTTGTAAATAATGAATTGACATTTTTGTTAAAGTATGA